CTGCTATTGGTTGAATGTAAGCAAAGAAACATGAAAGTTGATTTAACCACACGGGATGAAATTGTGCATGAGGTAGCTCGGTAATACCCTTGTTATTCCACACAAAAATTTTCAACAGGATATAACACAACAAAACAACAAATCATCATGCAGAGTTTATGTTTGCAAGGTTTGAATGAATATGAATTTCAAATGTTACAAAGCCCTCGTAATTTGTAGTATGCAAAGTGCTATATCCTTGGAATAGCTGTAATTTTTGATGGAAGAATTTAATATTTCAGGTACCAAAAAATGGTTTTATGCTACCTATACATGTATATGTAGGTTAAATGTGACTGACTTCAGAAAAGAGATGGCCACTGATATTTCCAAATGCTAATGACAACATATTGTAATTGTTACGGTGTCATAATACTATCAGACTGTGAGAATACAAGTTGCAGTGATTGTGAAGTGAAATTTTTTTTCAAGAACTCGTGTATCATGAAATGGGATGCCTTGTTGTAAACAAACGAAATATACTTGTCAAGCAGCAGGACTTAACGAAATGTGTACCATCAGCCATTTCTGGTATCACTAAATACACGTACATGTATAAGTTTTTGAGTTAATGGGTTTTGCCATAGGAACCAGAAGAAAAAGATGTGGTAAATGTGCTGGATGTACGGCCCAAGATTGTGGCAGGTGTACCTTTTTTCAAGGTATGGTTAAATCTAGAGGTCGACGAATTAAAAACAGTGTTGCAAAGGAAGGGAATGCATTAACTTAAAATGTATTTCAGTTGTGATTATATTAGTGTTTTAGTAAACGTTTCTTTTATTACTCAAATACATCTCAATCAAAAGAATTTGGTCAAAGCTGAAAATGTATCTTCAAATACATGTACAGCCAGTTCAAGTGGCAAGAAGTAGGAAGAGACTTGTCATAGAGGTGTATTACAGACAGTGCAATCAATCAACAGAGCTGTTAAATTTGAAGGAAGGGAAGCAAGTGGTGAAGAAAATGTTGATGGATCCTTGGTCAAACAAGCAATGATTATTCTGAATAATTATATTTCCCTACCAGATTTACATATTACATATTAACTTTTATTAATTATATTTTCCTATTTCAGTATGTGATGAATATTGTTATTGGTGATATACATAGTAAAGGAAAACTAGGACTATCAGTTAGCGACCTTAAAATAATTTGTAATGGAGAATGGCTGAGAGCCAAGGTTTACTTATGAATTGATTCATTATAATGAAGGACATAAAGAATTAAAAAAACAAAATGAGGATTCTGGACGACCAACAAAAATACGAAATGAAAATCCTACTCGTGACGCAAATTCTACTCTACATTGTACTTTTAACGTTATAATGTAAGAATTACAGATCACCTTGCAATGTATTGTAGAATTTGCGTCACTAGTAGGATTTTCATTTTCAACTTTTTCATGTTCTTGTTTGTGTTGATTTTTTTATAAAATTTCATATTTTTGTTGGTCGTTCGGAATCCTACATCATCTTTTTTCAATGTTCGGGTTTGTGTTGATTTTTAAAATAATATTTATGTTATTTCTTTAGTTGCAATTGTGATACTTGTTGATTTTACACAAATAATAATTTTCTATATTATTATTATCATTGTTTTAACATTTGAGAGACAGTATTGAATAGTCATGCTGAAGGAATATCAACTATACTGATGACAAGTGAAACTAATACTAGTCTTGACACAGGTCCTTGTTCAAGAATCTGAGCTACGAGTGTCCATCTTCCCTGCTATTCCTGTTCTTCCAGGCTGTTGTCAAGTTCATAATTATGATTGCATATCATGAGTCATAACATTAATTACTTGTTTTTTAAAATAAAATAAAAAACACTTGATAAAACAGTAACATGTAAAATCAATACTTTCTTTTAGCTGGAAACTTCCATTAAAGTATTGCAGTAAGTTGATTCCAAACATAGCTAGGTTAAAAAATAACTTGCGTCTTCCAGAGCTGCAGATCTGAGCATGCACGACCACACCTAAATTTTGGAGCACATGGCAAGCTTCTTTAATTAACAAAATGGCGGCATGTAGAAATTAGGATGGCTCAATCCAGCATTCACAGTATCACTTTTTCCTTACTTGAAGAATGATCTGATGGGACTTGGACCTGCGCATAGACTGTTGGAGTAGATTGGTGTAAGAATTATTTTTGTAGCACCAACTGATACTGAGATACACACCAACAACTGGATTGACGGGACTTGATGAAGATTATGATGATGATGAAAATGAAAAAAGGTTGCAATACAAAACGGCCGGTTTGCCAATTTTTTACTTCTCCCTTAGACAAGGTCTAGAGCCATGCTAGTTAAACAATTAGAGTCCTCTGGTCAAAATAAGGTCCTCTATAAAATCTGGTAAGCATAGGAGCTGGTTTTCTCAGTATAAGCAAGGCTGCAAAAGTTGTGGCAGCCATTTTGTTTGGGGGTGAATTCTACTTAGTAATGCTACCGTGTTACTAATATTTGTGACCCGATATGAGAAAACCAGGCTATCTGCGGGAATTATCATTTGGAGCTATGGGCTCAATCACGAAAAATCTTTACCTGGGTGAAATTCATTTTATCACATAAACATGTTATATAAACAAAATCCTTTCATTTGATACCAAAATCAGGGGTAGCGAAGCCTTCTTTGCCGAGTTATAAGCCCATTGACATTTTACCTTGATTGTGCACGGAGAATGTTACACGGAGCGACCACGGAATAAAAACGGAGGGCTTTAATGCGTCATTAGGTAACCATGGAGTCTCTATAGCAACTATATAAAGTATAACAAAGACGAAGAAGACTACTTATAAAAACTATGGCTACAGAAAGAGACATTGCTCGCTTGTTAAATGAAGAAATAGGTCCTCGAGACAGTGACTACGTTGCTTCAGTTCTTGGGGACTACTTTTGTGATGAAACTAGTGGTAAGCTTATTCATAACACTGTTTACATACTAACTGTGAATAGCGGTTAGCTATCACAACAATGACATTCCATCACCTGTATAAATGCACAATATTATTATAATAAACCTAGTTATACAGTGTATTTGTTAATTGATAGAGACAGACTATGAAGCAGTAGAAGATATGGAAGAAGAAGAGGTAGAGGAAGAGAAAGAAGAAGAGAAAGAGACAAAAGATTGTGATGAAGATATTAATCCACCACTGTTTGATCCTGAGGTGGCTGTGGAGCTACAAGTATCAGATCTTGATTTAGAATCAGCGATGCCTGATGCTCCAGCTACTTCAACTACTCACTCTGGTGATGACATGAGGAAGGAAGACCTACAGGAGGAAGAAGAATTATCAAAGTTCTTTGAACATGGATGTGGTTGCTCAGATAATTGCTATGCACTGTTCAGTCACTCTTACATAAAAACATATAGATGTGACATACAAGCCATGGCAAAGCCTGTTCAAGAAATTGCTATTATGAGTCAAATGGCAGCAACATCTACCATGGGGGGATTGTCG